GTCTACAACTGCATACATATTAAATAGAGCCAAAACAAAAGCCAAACCTCTAACTCCTTATGAATGCTGGCATGGTACTAAACCTAATATTCAAAATCTCAAATTTTGGGGATGTAAAGCACATGTATTTATTCCTAAACCTTCAAGGGATAAATTAGGAAGTAAAACTTGGGAATGCAAGTTTATTGGCTATGTTAAAAATGGGAGTGGTTATTGTTTTTACCATCCAGAACGTGGATTAATAGAAAGTAGAGATGCTATTTTTCTTGAATCCACTAATCTTGTTACTCCTATTGATCAAATTGAATTGCTCTTCGATGTATCTCCGGATTCTACTCTTCCTTCTTTGTCACTTGATCCATTAATTCTCCCAGAACCATCTAGTAGTGGAAGGAAACAAAAACTCCATGTTATTGTTTTACCTGCTTTGAATCCTGAGATAAGTGAGAGTAAGAGAACAAGACGTTCATCTATGTTTTTGAAAGATCATTATGTTTTTAAAGTTGAAAAACTTAATCACCTAGTAGATGATCTTACTAGTTATAACGAGGCAATGAGTAGCAGTGATGTTATATAATGGCTCGAGGCAATGAATGAAGAACTTGACTCGATCAAGAAAAATGATGTTTGGGAATTAACTGATCTCCCGAATGGAAGAAAAGCCATTTGTTGCAAATGGGTTCTTAGAAAGAAATTCAACGTAGATGGAAGTTTAGAGAAATACAAGGCCAAGTTAGTAGCCAAGGGATTCACTCAACAACCTGGAATAGACTTCGTAGATACATATTCTCCTGTTGCAAAATTTGCCTCAATAAGGATTTTAATGGTGGTAATAGTTAGGATGGATTTGGAATTGCATTAATTAGATGTTAAAACAACTTTTCTCAATGGAGAATTAAAGGAGGAAATTTATATGATGCAACTTGATGGTTTCCAAATCCAAGGCAACGAGGACAAAGTCTACAAGTTGAAGAAATCTCTGTATGGACTCAAACAATCTTGAAGACAATGGTACTTGAAATTCCACCAAGCCATGTTAAAAATAGGTTATGTTGTGAGTCCATTAGATCACTGTGTTTATATCTGGAAAAATGATGACAAGTTAGCAATATTGTCTTTATACGTGGATGACATATTGTTATTAGAAAATTGTTCAGATATGATCATAAAAACCAAAACTTTATTGGCATTTAGATTTGAAATAGAAGATATGGGTCTTGCAACCTATGTTCTATGAATTAGAATTTCAAGAGATAGAAATTCAAAATTATTATATCTAGATCAAGAGAAATATCTGGACAAGGTGTTCAAAAGATTTAATATGGATAACTTTAATTCTTTAAGCACGTCTGTTTGCAAGGAACAAAGTCTTAGTAAAAGTATGAGTCCTCAAACTAAGTCTGACGTTGAGGAAATGAGAAATGTCCCATATGCTCAGGCAGTAGGCAGCCTAATGTATGCTATGACAAGCATAAGACATGACATCTGTCATGCAGTCGGATTGGTAAGTAGGTTTCAATCCAATCAAGGTAAGGAACATTGGCAAGCAGTCAAAAGAATATTTAGTTATTTAAAAGGCACTAAGAATTTGAAATTATATTTTGGTTTGTGTGATCTAGACATAAAAGGATACACTGACACAGATTTTGCAAGAGATGTAGATGATAGAAAATCTACTAGTGGCCATGTGTTCTTGTTTGGTGGAACGACAGTTTCTTAGTTAAGTAAGAAATAGAGTTGTGTTGCAAAGTACACTATAGAAGCTGAACGCATAGCTTGCAGCATAGCCGTTAGTAATATGGTCTAGATAAAACAATTTTTTGACAGTTTACAATTAGGTATACTTGCCAGATCGGTCAATATGTTTTATGATAATCAGTTCGCCATTTCGTTAATCAAAAGTGGAGCGAATAGCTCTAAAGGAAAACATATTGATGTTAATTATCACTATATTCAAGATATAGTGGAGATGAGAGAAATTAAAGTCCATTATATACTCTCAGAAGAAATTATGGTTGACCCTATGACCAAAAGGTTGTCTCTGGAAAAATTCAAAGAATATGTGGCTAATATGGGATTGAAAAATGCTTAACTAGGTGGTTTAGCTAATTATATAAAATAGAGGAACTGACAAGATACGGACATCATAGTTAGTATGAGATGTAAAGTCCATGATATGTAACATGCTGACTAGATGATGTTTCCTCCTTAATTAGCAAAAAGTCGTTGATAAGGTGTGTTAAGGAAAACATTCAGGAATGGGCCTTAGAGGAAATACTTAACAATAATTTCAGCGTAGGTCGACACATGAAGAATGTGTGTGGTTGAAGTCGTCAATGGTGATTGGGTATGGACTATGAACTCAATACTGAAAATTGATGTCGTTCATTTGAAATATAGCGAATTGAAGTCATCTGGAGTGTGTTGTTGGTGGGAGAACGCATTCGTACGGGGGCAGTCAGATTGGTGGCAAAAACGTCCGCACGTATGGCCAAGTCACAATTGGACGTCAATTTATAAGGTAAATTCGTAGATAAAAGTTGGCGTGAGGCAAATTTTGGTACCAAGGTTAAAAATGCTCAACGTAGGTTTATCATCTTATTATGGTGAGTTCAAGTGGGAGATGATAGAATAAGGAGTGACCACACCATAATTTGGTGTGACTCACTTCATTCGATCATTCCTCTCTTGAATTGTAAAGAAATCTTCCCCGCAAGAATATTGAAACCATCTGTTAGTTAATGGTTTGAATTCAAACATCTATAGACACATCTTTTGGTGAACCATGGTGACTGTTGCTGTATGAAACAAATTCAAGGAGTATAACAGCAAGGTTGGAAATCATTGAAAAGAAAAACAGAAAATTTTATACTTTCTAACTTTCGGATAATCGATATTCTTGCGTGATAAACACCCTCATGGGTATTCCGATCAATTGCCATCGGGAGTTAATCTTTCAAGAATTAGGAAAAAAAATTACAAATATATAAGGGTGCAAATGTGTCTATGGTGGGGTGCAAATGAAAAGTTATGAGAATGCAATGTATTGATAATTTTTTCCTCAACTCCTACTTATATATAATTCTCCCTAAATTATTAAGTGAGATTCCAATCACTTTAATATGTAAATTAAAAAGTATTAATCACTTTATTTGATATTTTTTAAAATTGAAACTATATTGACGAAGATAAATATTAAAAATATATTTTTTGCTAAAAAAAATCATATAAAGCCCTCATTTGGCATGGAGTTATCAAGTTAAAATAGTCACACAAAAATAAAATAAGTTAAAAAGTTAATAAGAAAAAATGTTACATCTAAATCATAATCATTTCATTTTTTATCTTATAAAAGTTAAAAAATGCAACCCAAATAAGACTTTTTAGCCCCAGATTAATAGCTAAAATGTCAAACCGTTTACCGAACAAAGCCAAAATTTGTTAGCACTTTTTTATTTATTTATTTATATTTTTAATCAAATCTTTTCAAAACCAACCCAAACATATTTTTTCCTTTTTACTCACCACTTGGATACAATATATATATACATATATATTAAAAACAAATAATAAGCAATCAGACTACTTAAAACAAAACTAATTATATTACTAAACACTTCACCCCAAAAAAATATTGTTTGTGCTTTCCTCTATAAATATGATATTTTACTTAAAACAAAATTATTTGTGTGGACAAAAAACTTAGAATAAATATTTGTTTGTGCTTTCTCTATATTTTTCTTTTAAAAAAAGAAAAAAAGAGAAGGGCAAACTATACCTAGATTAGAATAATTACATGTGTGTGGGTGAAAATCTGACCACATTGCCTGCTTAGTGATCAACTGGAGAGCACAGGCAGAATAGATGGCTTCAGCAACCTGAAACAGAAAGAAAAGGCTCCGGCGGTGGTTCTTCCACCCGGGGGCACTCCGACGATCAAGTCAATATATCTCTCAAAGATAATCAAGTGCAAAACTTAATACTCAAAACATAAATTGCATACCTTAGACCCACGGGGGTGCCTCTCTTTTATAATATACTCAATCCAAGTCCTACTAGAAGTATGACTTCTATGAACTCCAATTTAGTGCTTACTTTGGACTCTTTAAGAGATAAAGATAAACTCCCTAAGAGCTTTATCCTTATCTTGGTTAAGTCCCCTCTTCGTTTTAGGACTCTTGTCCTTTATTTGTTTTATCTCGGATTCCGATATCTTCGGAGATAACATCGGCTTTGTCGAGATCACCTCGGCGTTACGACCAGGACACGTGGCACCTCGGCTGACATGTCGGCGTCACCTTGCCACGTGTTGGTACTCAGAAAATATATCCCCACAACTGCCCCCTAGGTGCTATTACCTCGGTATTCTGAGGTGATGGAGCCTATATTGATATTTCTTTCTGCATTGTGACCGAGAAACTGTTTAGCCGAGATAATCCGCTTCCAGCCGATGTGTTGTCTTCGGAGAACAAGGTTTCGAACGTACTCTTCCACGTGCATGAGCTGTCATGCATATCTAACCGTTCCTCTCACGTGTTTTGTTTTTATTTAAGTCTTTAAAATTTGTCTGTTTCTAATGTCTGTTTGCTTGTCCTGCAGGTCTTCATCAACCACCAAAGAACTTCCGTCAATCGTTCTTCCCTGGTCCAGATTTAAAGAAGCTTCTTGGTCTTCCAATCCATAAGCGCAAGGCTCCCCTGTTACTGAACTTTATTCCAACATATAAATCCACTTTACCCGACGTCCCGAGAAGGAAAAAAAAGAGTCTTTCCCCTCCTACTGCCACAACTGTAACTGCGTCTTCATCCCGAACAGATCAAGGATCCACCTCTGACCCAGCCGATCTTCCATCCACTTCGGCCCCCTACTTAATACCTATTCCAGAACGTAAACGTCGACGAAGACTTGTAAAGACTGCCGAGATGGTTCGTCCAAGGCCTGTCGTTCAAGATCTTCTTGCCGACCTTCCAACCGACGCTGATGCTGAACCATCGCATGCGATGCTCCCACCAAAGCCAAAGAGAGTAAAAAAGGCTCAGCCCAAGCCCAAGGCTACTGACGCCGAGGTTGAGGATGCTTTGCCTATCTCCCAGCTGGCAGAAAGCAAAAAATCAACCTCTGCTTCCACCAAGAGGTCTGCTGGAACCCAACCCTCGGGGTCCACACAATCAAAGAGGCCAAGGTCATCGTCTGCGACGACCTCGGCGTCCAAGAAGCCCGACGTTCCATGGGCCCCTGATCTAACCCTGGAGGATAGGCCTATTATGGCTAGTGAAAGTGCCGACGATATTAACGTTGGTGTCGCCCTCAGCACTGCTCTTCTCCTTCCGAATGATTTGGAGCGAAATGCTAAGCTTAGCGAGTATGAGAATTACGCTCTCATGCTCCAACACTCCGTTCAGGTAAGTGTTCCTGTTTGCACTCGTGATTCTTCCTTCTTGTTTCCTACTAAGAATATTTTCTAATACTTCTGTTTTTTCTTCAGGCCATTCAACACGCCCATTCATTTTCAATGCAATCTTTTGAAAACCGGCAAAGATTGGTTGATATGAAGAAGGAAGCATCTTCCATGAAGAAGGAGATCAAATCTCTTGAATCAAGGATGAAAAAATTGGAAGATCAGGCCGAGGCGGCTACTAAGGCCCAAACTTTAGCTCTTGAGAAGGCCGAATCCGCTGAGGCCGTTAAAAAAGTTGCTGAGGCTGAGAAAAGAGAGGCCGAGGCTAAGAAGGCCCAAGCGGAGAAAGAACTCCAGCAAGCTCTGGCCACCAAAGAGGCCGAAGTCAAAGAGGTCGACGAAAAGGCCTATGCCCAGGGTATAGCCGACGTCGCAGAGGATTATAAACTTCAAGTCAGGCAGGCATGCAACAGGGGATTTTCTCTTGGTTGGATGTCCCTGATAAAGAAGCTTGATCTTCCTGCTGGCTCGCCATTGCACCAGGCCGACGCTATTCCTTTACCATTTCCTCCACCTCCACCTGAAGGCGAATCAGAGTCTGAGGCTGATGCCGAGGATGAAGATAAGCAGATAAATGAAGAAGCCTTGGTGAGAAAACCCAAGGATGCCGTCGAAGCCAAGTCCCTTCCACCGCCTGAGCAAGTTACGGACTTAACCTTGGATGAGGAGGGTGATGAGGTTGAGGAGGCAGCCAAGGAAATTGTTGTTGAGCAGCTATCGTCCGATCTTCTCTTGGTAGAAAGAAGTGTTAAGAACACATTAGCAGAGATTGATGCCGAGATACAAGCGGAAAAAGTGGCCGAGGAGGTTCTTCCAGAATCGTCCGAGGTCCCATTCCCCGTAGCTGCTAGTACTGAAGAGTCTTGATAACGTCTTTTTGTACTTTTTTCTTCTTTTTCTGCACTTTGTACTTTGTACTTTCTTTTAATTTCTAGACAATGTAAGACTCCTTCTTATGGCTGACGTAGCCTTTTCAATATGTAACTGCAACTGTTCTTTTTACAGATGTTTTTAATCTTGTGATGTTCTGTTGATTACTTCTGTCATAGTTCTATACTTAGAAATTTTCCTTTGTGCAATCTTCTCGGGGCTACATACCTCGGGTAAAATTGCAAAAATTTTACTTCGGCAAGATACTGACCTGTAAACCTTGCATAAATTTTAACAAGTATAAAAACATATACAACTCAATGTAAACTTTGCAGGCTTCTTCTCAAGTTTCAACAAGTATTAAACAGGGACTTCGGTCTGACTTACTTGTAAATTGCTACAAATTTCAACAAGTGTTAACATATACTGTAAGCTTTTCTAAGTGTTAAATAAATTTCAACAAGTGTTTAAACAATATACTTAGCCTTTACTTCAACTTGTAAGTTTCTGTATACCCCGGCTGATAATCATATGTCGGCTTAACATAAACTTGTAAATTGCTAAAATTTCAACAAGTGTTAAGCATCTTCCTTAGGGTTTAAACAACCCACATATTGCTATGAGAACTTAAGCAATAACCTCGGCTTAACTTCAACTTGTAAATTGCTACAAATTTCAACAAGGATTAACATATACTGTAACAGGGATCAACAAGGATTAACATA